AAATCATGTAATACATATAATCACAAATAACACATATACTCATCTTACACTCATGATCATGCTCATGATTTCATGCATACTACCATAGAAAATAGACTCATCACGAGTCTTGTTTCCATTCATCATACTTCACTAAAATGCACTCACCTTAGCCTTGTTTACTTTGAATCAATCCTAATCCTTCGATTATTTTGGAACAAGCTTTCCTTCTATATCTACATAGTAATGCATTGATACTTACCAGTATACTATTTAACTATAACTTCTTATGCTAAAAGAAAGGCTAATTTCATCTCTTAATGAAGGTATGTATCGATGAACTACACCATGTATTGATGCATCCCTTGACGGGTGCATCGATGCACTATTTATGCATTGGTGCATAAATTCTATTCGATGTTTGTATTTAAGGGGGTGCATCGATGCACTACTTGTGCATCGATACACTGATGGTATTCGATGTTTTTATTTTAAAGGAGTGCATCGATACACTTCTTGTGCATCGATACACCTTGAACAATTTCTAGGATTTACTCATGATGCATCGGTACACAATGAGTGTGTATCGACGCACTCTGCCCAGAATTCACTTATTGAACCCGAAAACTTATCCATTTTGGCTTAAATACTTCATCTTTCATCCTCTTTTATATTCTTAACTCTAGTACACATACTTAAACCAATATATACTCATTTATTTCATCTTAAACCTCAAAATCTTATCTTCCTCATGAAATTCAAGAATTATACCAACTTTGCAACATGATTAAATTCCACTTTTAATACTTTGTTTGTCTTAACTAGATTGATGACAAGTCAAATTTAACTTCCAATTCTAGCCATGAACTTTATTCCAAGATTTCATTCAAAATCTCACAATCTTTAATCTCTTCTAATTCCATCATCTTTTGATTTTAAGATAACTTAAGTTTTCCTTAAGCTTAGTTATCATCTAATAATCATAAACCAATCTTAAATTTAACAAGAAACTAACTAACCAGAAACTCACCTTTGTTTTGGGTTCCCACGCATGAAGGAAGAATAAGAGAAAGAGAACTCTGGAAGCTTGTAGATTTTTTTTCCCTTCCACGTGGTTAATATATAACCTTTCTTTAATTTAATTATTTCCCTTACAAAAGACCCTTTTGCCCTTCACTTCATCTAATAATTACTTACCTCTTTCAGGTAATATTCCAAATGAATCATTGAACTATTCCATTCTTCTACTTTAGTCACCAAGCTCTGAAATTTTATAATTTAGTCATTAACCCATAGATCGGGATGTTACATGCAGTGTTGATAGCTTCATCCCATAGAAATTTGGGTAATCCGGTATGTATCCTCATGCTTCTGCATGTTTATTCAGAGTTCTGTTCATGCGCTCTACTACGCCATTCTGTTGCGGTGTCATAGGAACTGTTGTCTCCATCTTGATCCCATTGTTTGCGCAGAAATCTCTGAATCTACTGTTTCTGTACTCTCCTCCATTGTCAGACCTCAACCGCTTGACTTTCAAACCAGTTTCATTTTCCACCATTACGTTCCATTTTTTGAAGGTATCAAAGACTTCTGATTTCTTCTTCATAAAATAAACCCACACATTCCTTGTTGAAACATCGATGAAGGTGACATAATATAGTGAGCCTGCAAGGGATGAAACTGAAGATGGTCCTCATACATCTGTATGAACCAACTCTAACTTTTTTGCCTTGGGTGTCTTGGCAATCTTTGCAAAACTGACTTTCTTTTGTTTTCCAAAGATGCAATACTCACATAGTCCGACATCTACATTCTTTAGATACGGCAGCTTCCCTTTTGAAAAAAGTGTCTTCATCCCTTTCTCATTCATATGGCCAGGCCTTTGGTGCCATAGGTTTGATTTTCTATCAGCATCTGCTACTGTAATGATATTCTTTAAATTTGAGGTTATATAGAGAGTATCAGTCTTCTTACCACAAGCAATGACGAGTGCTCCTTTGGTAATCTTCCATTCAGAGCCTGAAAAGGTTGTATTATAACCTTCTTCATCAAGTTGTCCTACAGAAATCAAATTTCTTTTGAGGCCAGAAATATGTCTCATTCCTTTCAGCATCCAGGTGGTCTGGTTTGGCAACTTTAGTCGGATGTCTCCTCTTCCGACGATCTTCAAGGTTTAATCATCAGTTAGATGAACCTTCCCAAAATCACCACAGACATAATTCTCTTTGATTTCTTGGCATGGGGTGGAGTTAAAAGATGCCCCTGAATCCAAGATCCATGATTCAATCAGACTGTTGACGCTTAGAATCATGGTATCACCTGTCTCATCTGTCATGTTGGCATATTCTTGTGCGCCAGTATCTTTCTTCAGTGCTCGACAATCTCTTTTAAAGTGATCATTCTTGCCACAATTATAACAGGTAAAATCTTTCTTTCCCGTTCTTGATTTTCCCCTTCTGGATTTCGATCTGCCTCGATTTGAATTTCTTTATGAAGTTCTCCCTCTAGACTTCGTGTGCAAGGCTGAGGAGGTTGATACTTCACCCGATTCTCTTCGTCGAATTTCTTCACTAAATACCAGATCCCAAACATCGTCGAATTTTAATTTGTTGTTTCCCGACGAGCTACTGACTGTTGTAACAGTAGCATTCCAACTGTCTGGTAGAGATGATAAGAGAATTAAAGCTCGAACTTCATCATCGAATTCAATTTCCATTGAACTCAACTGGGTTGTGATTGTGTTAAATTCATTTAAGTGTTGTGCCACCCATGCCCCTTTCGTCATTCGCAAATTGAATAATCGGCTCATCAAATGAACTTTGTTTGAGGCTTATGGCTTCTCATACATACTGGAGAGAGCCACCATAAAACTCACCGTGGTCTTTTCCTTTGCTATGTTGAAAGCAACATTACGGGATAACGTCAGTCGGATAACTCCGAGGGCTTGTCTGTCGAGAAGAGCCCAGTCTTCATTCTTCATGCCCTCTGGTTGATTTCCTAAGAGGGGTTGATATAGATTTTTATGGTGCAGAATATATTCGATCTGCATCTTCCGAAAGCCAAAGTTCGCACCATCGAACTTTTCAATTTTCACATTCCCTTCGTCTGCAGCCACCGCTCCCACTCGAATCTGGCTTCGTTTGGATAGTTTCTGACAATTCTTGCGAATCACCTTGTATTATAACACCTCCGTTGACAAATTCGTATTGCCGACAAATTTTTTTACTATTTACATGAATGGTGATGAATAGTAACCTCACAAAAAATTAACAAAAATTCACAACCAAAAGCTATGATTACCAGTTGTTGGGAAATAAACGAGTAACAAGTAATTTCCCTATAACCAGATTAGTGAGAATGCGAAATAAAAGCGGAAAAATAATACTCGAAGTTGATAACGGAGTTCAACCAATTATGCCTACGTCTCCGTACTGCTGCAGATCTTTTACTAAGAGAGAAATTTTACAGGTGTTTACAAAACACTTACTACTCACAAGAAAGCTCTCTCGTATTGGGAGAAAGAAATGATTTGGGATGATTTTGAAGCTAAATGAGCTAGGATATTTATAGTTGAAGCATAGGGACTAATCTTTAAAAATATCCTAAAGTGCAATGACTAAAGTGTAATTTACCCTTACTAAAAAATCAACAATTGCTACCTAATAGCAGCCCATGTTGCCAGCCGCCCATGTTGTTAAAAAAAACTCACCGAAAGTTTTTTTAATTTGATTTGACTTTTCAACTCAAACTTTAACCAATGGAGCAAAAGAAGACTTTCAACATTATATGAGTTCTTCTGTAAAAAAACTATATGATTTCTTATAACTCATTTTAAAACAATTAAAAATGTAAAAAAATATATTAAATTTATTTGAACACGAGAAGAAACTGGATCTTTAAAGTAAAGATGAAACCTTGAGGGATTCAAATATAAATAATAACAAAATAAAGTGTCATTATATAATTAAATCATCAATTAAAAATTTAAAAACTGAGAGATATATGATCTAATTTACCTAATTTTAAAATTGACGGTAACTTGAGAATTATTTAAATAAAAAAATGGGAGCAAGGCCTAATTTGCATAATTTCAAAATTGACAATAACTTAAGAACCATTTAAAAAAATACAAGTTGAGGCTTAATTTAGTTAGTTTTAAAACCACTAGGGACCTAAAGGGTACTTAAACCCAAAAACACAGAGGGACAAGGTTCAAATTATCTAATTTCAAAACCACCAAAGACCTAATAAGTAATTGATCCCAAATTTGAGGAGAAGGTCCCACCCACCCTTCAAGTAGTTCCATTCCTGTTCCTCTTCCTTATTCCTTATACAGTAAAGAAGTCAAAAGATATCAGAGCAAACTACTTGTAGCATTTAAACTATTAGTTTTAGTCTATTTTAGTACTTGAACTTTTAAAATTTTAAAATCTTAAAATCATGCATAATATTTAGTTTCCATTTTATTTTATTATCATGTCATTAAAAACTTAACGCGTTTAGTATCTAAATTATCAATTGTGGTCCATTTTAGTACCTAACTTTCAATTTTTTTCAAAATTTAATGTTAAATTTTGAATGATACTAAAATGAAACAAAAACTAAAGTTTATAACAGTGTACTAAAATGAAATAAAAACTAAACTTTAGATATGGTTTTGAAAAAATTAAAAGTTTATGTATTAAAACGAACTAAAACTAATAGTTTAAATACTAAACTCATAATTTAACCGAGATATAATTAAGATGCATACCCACAAGCTCCCCAAAATAACATGGGGACGAATTTAATAGCCCTCGAAAGTTGGAGGATGAGCTTGCCACCCGGTTTCCAACACCTGTACGCATGTGACTGGCGCAGAAGAAAGAGTCAAGAAAACCAGATTCAAGTGCCGTAGATTATCGTGGAATTAGTTAGGAAAAAACAAAAACAAAATTAAGTACGGCAACCACAAAGGCCACGAAATAGTCGCTTAGCTTATCCTATATAGTTGGTTGCTTCAGGTAAAAAGCATGAATAAAATGACGAATTATGTGGTAGGAAATGCTGAGATTAATGAATTCTGGAGCAGAGCAGCATCGTTTACTGACTTGGCCAAAGGCGAAAACTGGGATCAGTGGATACCCCATTTCCATGGCTATACGAACAAACCCTCTTCGTGCCTTGAGGAATGCAAACTGTAAGATCCAAAAATTAAAACCCTCTTCGGTCCTTCTGAAACAAGAAGAGAGTTGATGAAAGAATGAAACCTCAGAATCATGCTGCATGAGGAATGTCTCTTAGACTCCACCAGCCACTACAATACAACTTTAACCATTTCCCAACAGGGAACAGAAGTTCTTCCTTGTGGCTGGTGAAGCACCCAACCATGTCCATAGATGCTTCAAAAATGGAGTGTAGAACACCTGTATTCATCCATTTATACCACCAAACAAGTTATGGCCAAAAGAACATTGAGTAATGAAGTGCAGAAGGGGAAGGATTATGGGCTTACGGGGCTCGAAGTAAGGCACTTCAGTTTAGGAAGAGGCATGAAACCTGTGCGTTCAGCTAACGGAACAACTCCGATCGGCAACACAGAATGCGGCTCGTAACCGAAAACTGCAGGCATTTACAAGCTAACATATGTTATTTGCTCGACACTTACAAGCATTTTGTCGAGCATTTTGAAGTAAATATTAAAAGAAAGAAGAAAAGAGACCACAAGCGCGATCGGGATGGAAATCGTTGATGTCCTCAACGTGGAGAGTAGTAGGAAAATAACTGGCCATATGCCTACATACATAGCTGTTCATTCCAATCATGATTATTTGTTGAACTTACAATAATGAAAACAAAAGAGATAAAGAAGAGACTAGAACAGTGAAAATGATTGTTACCTTGCCAACCTCAGCCCAAATTTACTGTTTTCATCGATCGGAAGAACGAAGAAACCCGCGAGGATTCCAACCACCCTGGGGATATTGAATCAAATGAAGACATGAATTTCTGCCATTTAAATTATTTCATTTTTTCCCAACAAGTAAAGTAATAAACTTAAAAAGATTAGAGGAAGAGTACGAACAAAAGGATTTTGGAGAAAGGAAGGAAGATGAGGGAGAAAAGGACGGAAACGTTGAATTGCATAAATCCAATCCACAACGCATAAGCTAATGTTCCGTGCAAAATGTTCGACGGAAATTCATTTCTTCCACTGAATTGCCGATATCCAGGTCCAGGCGTAAACGTCTGTTTCTCAGCCCTATCTTCCGACGCCGATGACCTAATCGCTACCGCTTTTGAAAATATGCCCTTCTCCTCTATATTCTGGTTTAACTAACACCACATATTACACACGACACTTCGCCATGTTTCCCTCTTAATTTATGTTTAGACGACACGGTCTGCAAAAATAACTGACCGGTTGGCTTACCCGACATTTTCTAAAAAAATTAGATAATTTTCTAAAAGAAATTTACTTGACCGGGTCGGGTATCTGACCCGACATTTCTCATGTCAGACCCGTGTCACAAAATTAAATTTTTCATATATATATAATCCAATCACTAAACCATGATAATTTGTATAAATATTGATATTATTTATAATTAGATTAAGTTTTGATAGGTTAGTAATTAGATTATGACCGTCAAATATGATATTAATTTAATTAGATTAATTTGTAATTGGATTATAATTGTATTAAGTTTTGCTAGTCTAGGTAATTAAATTATATAAATGGGCGCTGTGATTATAATTTAATATTATAACTTGATTAAGTTTTGATAGTTTAATAATAGATGTTAATGATTATCATAATTCATATTAATCCTAGTTAGCTAAGATTTTTTTATGTTTTATTTATTTTATGAATTATTAGATTTTGTATTTTAAATTTTTAAATTTTATGTTCGGATATGTAAATATGTAATTCGAAGTATAGAATATTTAAATTTGTGTGTATATTTCAAAATTTTCAGCTTAACAAAGAGAAATTAAACTGTTAATCCATCAAACCGTTGGGTTCAAGAGATATTTCAAATGAGTATTTCAAAAATCACTAGAATATCATAAAAAAAACATTTGAAAAAAAACGAAAAAAAAGTCCAGATTTAACAAAGAAACCTGTAAAACGTGGAGAAGGCGAATGATGTGGGGGTGATTAACAGAGGAGAGAAAACTAAGCTCGCAATCCAAGCAGTTAGCGAGGTGTTTGTTGAGCTTGGAAAGGAACACTTGCTTCACTCCCACAAGTTCGCCGCTTGATTTGCTCTCAGCTTTCCAAACGATGGAAACAGAGCTTCCTCCTAGCTTTGATTTTAGCATGTAGTCTCCGATCGTGACGGGTTCCGACAGATAGGGCATGGCAGCCATGGCGGAGACCTTTCATTAGCTTTCCTTCATGTTGCTGTCTATAGTAGCTGCTAGACTTATCTCGTTCGAGTCCTTACTAGTTCCTAATTTCGATCAGTCCATTTTTTAAATTAATTTAATTTGCATATACTTTTTAAGATTTGATTTTTTTTATTATTGGTAATAAACTTAAGTATTATAATTATTCAAATGAATTGAATAAATTATTCATAAAAGAATTATTTTGTTAAAAATATGAATTTTTTAAATTAATATATTTAAAAGTTTATATTAAAAAATAATCTAATCAATTCATTTTATATTGATAATTGTACTAAATATTTAATTAAATACGTGTAAAATAATAAACGTATATTTAAAAAAAATCAAATCTTTCAACTAATTTATTATTAATTTTCAATATAATAATATTTTTAAAACACATGTGAAGTAATTATAGGATGCGTTGATCTATAATTTTTAAATTTTAAAAGTAATTATTTTTTCATCATATATTAATTATTAACATTTAAATAAATAAATAAAACGAATAAAAATACCCCCAAAAGATATAAGGATATGACATAAATACCCGTTTTATTTCTTTCCTTCCACTCTACATTTCCGTCTCTAACAGCAGCAGCAGCACTTCAGAGAAGAGAGAAAAGGGGAAATAAAAGCATCGTCGTTTTGCTTCTTCTGCTTCCCCCTCTCTCGTCCGATCTCCTCCTTCGTTCTTTCGTTTATTTCAGGTAAACCTTTGCTCTTCGCTTCCATTTCCTTCGAAGTCCACCGATCTGTCATCTGTGGCTTTTGATGCTGTTGACGATGATGCAACTGAGATCTACAGCTGTAGAAGTTTCTAGAGTGTTAGATTTAACTTGATTTGCTTTCCTTGTAGCTGGATCTTTACTTAGCCTTATCCGCTTCATTACATTTGCGATTTCTTTATAGATCTTACGAGACTCGATTGATTTCCTTGATTTTTAACTCGATCTTCGACCAACCTGTTCTGATTAATGCTTTCAATGCCTAGATTTAATGCGGTTCAGAGTTTTTCTTTTCAAGCTTTAAGAAAAAATTAAGATCTCGGTCCTTACTTATAATTGATTTAATTTGTTATCAATTGAATTATACAACAGCTTGATTAGATTCTCACAAAAGAATGTTGCCTAATATTTTGATTTTCAACTGCTATAATTGTTTGCGCTATTTCGTAGATGCCTAAGCTAATGTATTGGACTGTTCTATTTCCTGTGTTTGAAGAAATTAATGTTGACTATGTGTTTATGTCTTTTTTCTATTACGAGGCACTAGAACTTGTTTTGTCGAAGTTTTTAATATAAACTTGTTTAGAGTAGTTGAAGGGCGTAGAATTCCCGTTGACAATTGATTTTGCTATACTTACTGCCTCATTCTTGTTTGTAGTATCGTAAAAGATAGACGGTGAGGATATTCAACCCCTCGTCTGTGACAATGGAACCGGAATGGTGAAGGTTAGTTAAGTTGTAGACTTGAGTAAACTTGCCCTAGAGTTGAGCTACCTACCACCTTCAAAGGCCCGCTTAAAATTTGATTGGGTTTGACATATATATTAAGTTTGAACAATTGTTTTGAACAAAGAAATTAGACCCGTTTAAAAAATGAGCTAAGGTTCCTATATTCTAGGATCGAGCCTGGCCACACTGATTTTCTAATTTTATAAATATTTATTTTATTTTATTTTTTATATTATATAATTTATTACATCTGGAAATATTAAATCTTTAAAAAGTTGAGAAATATTATTCAAAAAAAAGTTAAGAGAGATATATAAAATTACTAAACATCAAATAAACTTTGGTTGGCCTAAATGAGTTTGGGTTAGCCTTTGCAAATATGGGCGGATGAGGATAATTTGAGGTTTATATTTCAGACCAGGACAAGGTTGGGCACATAGAAATGATGACACACATTCCATACGTAAACTTGTCCAGTTATGTATGCATCTACACCTGAGTTATATTCTCCATTATTATCATGAGAACTATGTTATGATTGCGCTGATTTTGCTTGTCATGCAGGCTGGTTTCGCTGGTGATGATGCTCCCAGGGCTGTTTTTCCCAGTATTGTTGGTCGTCCCCGACACACTGGTGTTATGGTTGGGATGGGTCAAAAGGATGCCTATGTAGGAGATGAGGCACAATCTAAAAGAGGTATCCTGACATTGAAATATCCTATTGAGCATGGTATTGTTAGCAATTGGGACGATATGGAAAAGATCTGGCATCATACTTTCTACAATGAGCTCCGTGTTGCTCCCGAGGAGCACCCTGTACTTCTTACAGAGGCACCTCTCAACCCCAAGGCCAATAGAGAAAAGATGACCCAGATCATGTTTGAGACCTTCAATGTACCCGCCATGTATATTGCCATCCAGGCCGTTCTCTCTTTGTATGCTAGTGGTCGTACAACAGGTTCGTTGAAATTGAATTTTCTTTGAGCTTTTCACATTTTCATTGGCCGTAAGTAATCATACTGACATTGGATTATCTCCTTATTGGAACAGGTATTGTGCTGGATTCTGGTGATGGTGTTTCTCACACTGTGCCAATCTATGAAGGATATGCTCTTCCGCATGCCATCCTCCGTCTTGATCTTGCTGGTCGTGATCTCACTGATGCTTTGATGAAGATCCTTACCGAGAGAGGTTACATGTTCACCACAACAGCCGAAAGGGAAATTGTACGAGACATGAAGGAGAAGCTTGCTTATGTTGCCCTGGACTATGAGCAGGAACTGGAGACTGCCAAGAGCAGCTCTTCTGTTGAGAAGAACTATGAATTGCCTGATGGACAAGTCATTACTATCGGAGCTGAGAGATTCCGTTGTCCTGAAGTCCTCTTCCAGCCATCTTTCATCGGGATGGAAGCAGCTGGAATCCATGAAACCACCTACAACTCTATCATGAAGTGTGATGTAGATATCAGGAAGGATCTCTACGGTAACATTGTGCTCAGTGGTGGTTCAACTATGTTCCCTGGTATTGCGGACCGTATGAGCAAGGAGATCACTGCCCTTGCTCCAAGCAGCATGAAGATTAAGGTTGTTGCACCACCAGAGAGAAAGTACAGTGTCTGGATTGGAGGATCTATATTGGCATCACTCAGCACATTCCAGCAGGTGAATATTTTTGCATATTTGGTTCATGTTTTACTTCTTTTGCTCGCTGGTTGTCCGAGACTAACATTCTTGCTTCACCTATCGTATCAGATGTGGATTTCCAAGGGTGAGTACGACGAATCCGGCCCATCCATTGTCCACAGGAAGTGCTTCTAAGTTTTTAAGTGCTTTGATGGTGGGTTACAGTTTTCAGTTAGTTTGCCTTTTTTGTGTTTCCGGAGTCAAAAGTTCAGTTTATTTGGGGGAAGATCTTTATAGGATGGTGTTCTTGATTTTAGCCTTTTCATTGTTGTGTCTTGAAACGTCCACTGGTGTCACCGCCGTTGAGGTGATGGCTCTATGGAGATGGCGGTGGGCGGACAATCGGCGTTTTATTCATTTCTTTCAGTGCTTCTTTCAACGATGTTGCTTAAAAGGGTGTTTGTATCTGGAATCTGGATTGTGCTTTTTTTTCTCTGCTCTTATTTAATATTCAAGGTTTTGAGAACATTAATGTCTATAACGCTATTGTACGAGAATTTTCTTCTAAAAAAAGTCAGTTTGCCGTCAAATGTTTTGTGGAAATTATATTTAATACGCAGGCTTCAAATCTCTCTTTTTTTTTAATCTGATTTCATCTTGTGTCAACCTAATTGTTTGTGGTGAACATGGTTCTTCCCCCCCCCCCCCCCCCCAAGTGCATGCCTACTCAGTTGTGTATTATAATATAGGGTAAATTATATCAAATATCACCGAATTTTAAGCGTTATTGTTTACACCATTCCTTCAATTTTACCAATTGTAACGCGGAACTTTAAGTTTTGATTTTTGTTTCAATTGTACCATTGAATTATTAAATCGTTAACGGTATAATCGTGTGGTTGACGGCTATCGATGTGATAGATAGTTGCCTATAATGATATTTGACTAAATTGATATCATTTTCATCTTGTGTTAACAGTTCAATGGTATAATAAAAATAAAAATAAAATTCAGTGTTGTAATTGACAAAACTGAAAATTCAATAGTATAAATTATACGACGCTTAAATGTAGTTTATTTATAATACAATGGGAGACCATTTGAATTATGCAAGTCCTCTTGCTAATTCTCACATTTCTGTTCTGTTGGAAGAACAAGGATAGATAGTAAATTATTATTTGAATTTGCTTTATTGTTATGGGTATAAAATATATCAAAAGTTGTACCCAAAAAAAAAATCAAAAGTCACTAAATATGAAAGTTATAAAATAATTATTAAAACTATTAAATTGTTATAAAATATCACTTATAAAAAATTTATAAAATAGTTAGTGAAAGTAATAAAATAATTATTGAAATTATCTCTATTTAAAAAAATATTAAAATTATCACATTGTTTCAAAAGAAATTGATAAAATTGATCAGTTTATTCTTTCAAAAGTTAGTGACTAAAACATAATTTAATGACTAAAACAATTATTTAAACATAATTTAACGACTGTTGATATATTTTATCATATTCTTAAAAATAGTAAATTTGAAGATCCAAATTAAATTTTCATTATTTGTTTATCAAAAAAAATATTTTCGTTAAATTTAAATGCATGTTCTATAAGTAATGTTACTTAATTCGGATTCAAATTTATTATATCATTATCTCATCTAAAGCATAAGAAGTTTACCAAATAGATACAGAATCACGTATGTGACAACTTGCAAATTGCCATAACATTTCTCTTTGCTAAATAATCACCGAGGGTTTCCACACATCTCCAGTTGGAAGTACTGCAAAACATTTCATTAAAATTCGACAACACAAATAAACAAACTTTTTGTGCCAATGTGAGAAATTGCAAGGAGAGAATCACGTAATGCTTAGACTTCTGATCACCAAAGCAGCAAGGAAGCACTGCCTCGATTCTTCATCATCTGATGGCAATACACATCAATATCGGAATTATATATATATATATATATATAGTTGTCAACAATTCAGAATTGCAACGCTTCAGAAGGCAACATTCACCCACCAAAATTTACTCCGGTATTGCCGACGTGTGGATTGGTCATCAAGACAAACTGACCAGCATAACTAGGGTCGGTTAGAATCTCCTGATACCTGAGCAACATTGTATTTGGCATGCATTAGACAATGCATACAAATAATAAACTTCGAAAACCAACTACGAAGTAAAAAGGATGCAATTTCAACCATAAGAACGCAAACACTTGATAATCTTATTGCACCTTGTTTGAAATTCAAGCATTTTACTAAAACTTTAGAATCTATCCAATTATAAAACGAAGCTTAATTACAACAAGTGGAAATTTCTTTAATTTAAGCTTAATTATAAAACGAAGCTAAAATTAAAAAAAAATACTACATCATCGTACCCAGTTAAAGAAGTGTTGAAAACCACTTCACCAACTTGGGTTTCAGACGTACCAAAAGATTTGCCCCCCCCCCCCCAAATAGAACCAGCCTAGCACCCGCTACCTTCCATGGCCTCTCGGCCAGCCCTGAAACCACTCAAACGCCCAAATATATTTCATCATCTGTTTTCAAGATTAAATGAAAAAATAAAGGAGAAAAATCTACCAGTGGCGGCACCGTCAGATGAGAGAGGAAGGGAACATTGGATGGTTAAAAATCTAGGTTTGGAGGAGGCATTTGGTGGGTTTTAATAGAGGGGTTTACTATGAGTGAAAACCCCATCGCGTTTACGCTCATTTTTGCTCTGAAAATCGAGTTTGCAAAGCCGCTTGAGCTAAAAGACGATTAACAATGGCTGCTCTGAAGAGTAAAGCCACTCGGCGCTCGTTATATTATTGATTTTTGTTGCTCGTAGGAGAGAACTAAAACTAGGCACTCTGAGTTTGGTCCCTCGTTTCCGTTTTATTTCATTTTAAAAGGTTAACCTACGAAAGTGGTCACTATTGTTTCATATTGTTCACTTTTGGTCATTACCTTTAAAAAATAATGTTTTAAGTATTAATACAAAAATAAATGACTAAATTCTGTCTCGAAATATGATTTGATGTCTAAATAATTTTTCGTTAAAATATGTGACTAAAGTTTTCAACATTATACTTTTAGGTACCTAGACCGTAACTACCTTTAAATTTTATCAGAGTCGGCTTTAATGGGGAGCACCCTAAGCGACTGCTCAAGGCACTGCTTTTTAATTTTATTGTTAAGGGCCCTAAAGTTTTTAATTTTATAAAATAATCCTTATTTTTTATTTTTATAATTGAGAAACTATAATTTAATCATTTTTCTATGATTTGTTAATGTGATATTAAATTAATTGTTCAAAATAACATAGTTTATTTTCGTTCTATAAGGCCTAGTTTTGAGTTTTCACTCAAGATTTATAACTAAGGATCTCTCACTTTTCTAATTTTATAAAATAGTCCCTACATTCTACTTTTATAACTAAGGGGCTATAATTTAATTATTTTCTATGGTTCATTAATGTAATATTACATTAGTTTTTTCAAAAATAATATAATATATTTTCGTTCTATAAGATATTTTTTGAGTTTTCGATCGAGGTTTATAACTAAGGGCCCATAATTTTTAAATTTTATAAAATAGTCCATACTTTTTACCTTTATAATTGACGGCTTATGATTTAAACATTTTTATATGATATATATTAATATAATATTAAATTAATTATTCAAAATAATAAAATATATTTTCATTATATATGACATGTTTTTTAGTTTTCGTTCAGGGCCCCAAAAAATATTCGAGACAGCTTTGAATTTGATTGTTATCTGACATGTGTTATGCATATAAAAGTTTAAAAAAAATTAAAAAAATAACATTATATTTTAAAAAATATCAAATATTACATTTTCCGTCACTGTTTACACCATCAGAATTGTCTCGCCGTCGCAACCAAAACCCAGTCCCCCATCCACCGTGAAACTACGCCGATTGTCATGAAAAACGTCGCGAATGGTCATCAGATTTTTAGGTTTTTCGTTTAAGTTTTCCAACGATTTTGACGCCTACAACCGTCCGTAAGTTTCACAGTCGCTACTATTGTATTCATCGTCGTGTTTCAAACAAAACTCGATCAATGATAACCGTTCGCCATCAAAAGTGAGGAGACGGGAGGGACAGAGACAAAGGAGGAGGAAGGGGTTTGATTTTTTTAATTAAAAAATATATTTTTATTATTTTTTTTAAATTTAAAATATAACGATAGATAACTAAAAGTGTAATAAAAAAACGTTAGGCACATATTTTTAACAAAAAATTCTTTAGACTCTAAAACGTATTTCGAGACATTGTTTGAACACTTATTTTTGTATTAAGCTATGTTTTAATAATTTATGTTATAGTTATAACAATTTAGTCACTTATATTATCGTTTTATAGCACTTTAATCATTTGTATGTTTAATGTCATTAGTTTAATGATTTTTCAGTTAGTAAAAGAAATTAATTTTTAATTTAATCTTAAATTTTATATGAAATACTATTTTAATAATTAAATTTTAGATAAAATATTAAGTTAATCCTCAAACTAGAGATGTTAATTCATTAATTTGATAAAATTCTCCTATCATCATACATCATTTTCTCCTGTCGTTAGTCATTGTCGATCCTCATTATCAACGATAGTTAGATCAAAAACTCAAGTTAACTGATTTATTTACCTTCTAGACGTAAAACCGATGTTAATTTCGTAAAAAAATATTTCATATTCGATGATACATTCGTAAATATTTTTAAGATGAACAAACATATATTAACATCACAAATTTATAAGTGAACATAAATAAAATCGCAGAGTGAGCACAATTGACAAAATAGATAACTAATTGAAAGAATTTTTTTTTGCTTCTACTATTATCCGGACTTAGAACATATACTCGTTTAAAATTAAATCATAGTAATAAATTTATTATTAATATTATTATAAAAGTAAAATTTATTACATGTATTTTTATATTAATATTAATGATATTTTAAAAGAAAAATGTTGGTTTCATACTCATATTGTAATGTTCTACATAATCAATAGAATATACATAACAATATTATAAAAATGGAAACCCCAAGAACATACATAACAAAACTTGCTTATTTTCATTGATTGATTACCGCGGAACCATTATCGAAAGCCAATGAACCATAAATCAAACAAAAAAGAAAATATTAAATTATTCCATATAAATCTCCTGAATCTTCTCTTTCCCTCTTCATTCGACGTTTTTCTCACTCACCCCGAAGGAGCATCAAAGAAGAAAGGTCTCCCTCCACAACAGTCTCTGCTTTTCTATAATCCCAGAAAAGATAAAGGAAAATTAAAATGGGATGTTGTGCTCCAAAGCCCAAGGTGTTGAAGGGCAATGAGAAGCCGGTTCCGATTCCCCCTTCCAGGCAGCCCAAAGCGCCGATCGAAGCCGACAAGAAGGTGGAAGCTGAAGCTGATCTAAATCCCCATCGCAACAAGCGACGATCTCTTAGCAACTTGCTCGAAGAGGTATTTTGAATCATATTTTTTTTTAATTTTAATTCCAAATTTTTATTTATTTTTTGTCTGAATAGTTTACATTAAATAAATATTATTAATTGGTTAATAACGATATATATTATAAACTTGTATATCGTATTAATTAAAGTGATGACATGATATATATGGCGTTATCTTAACATAATATATGTCATATCATTTAAGGTGGTGACGTAATATATATTATATTATATTATTTAAGATAATAATATAATATGTGTCATGTCATTTACGATAATAATATAATATATATCATATCATATAAGATTATGATCATATATAACATGTCACTTAAGATAATGACATGATATATGATACATATATAATTAAACACTAGTAGAAATGATATGTCGATAACATTATAATATTAATTGATTAATGATTTTCATTTAACGTTGTGTTTTTTTATCGATAATCTTAGAGAACTATGAAATTTGTTCTATTAAGTCTAAGCGTATGAATTGTTTTTTTTTTTCAGGAAATGAAAATGGAAGCCAAGACACCAACCAGGCTGACGAGAAGCACATCGATGGAGCATGTGACTCAAGGATTGTCGAACAATGAGAAGCTGAAAGAAGTCAATGTGGTGACGAATGAGGAAACTACGGAACCAATGACCGGAGTCGAGGAAACCGGCAACCGAAACAGCGAATCGGTGCAATACGTTGAAGCGAGATCGGTACATGATATGGTTGCCGAGATTGAGAAACTAAATAAGCGTAAGTCCAATGTGGTTACGCCTAAGAAGCCCCTGGAATGGATGTACACGCCCTTTTCTGTGCCCGTTGCTCTTACAAAGATTGAACTAGGACGCTCAGCTGAACCCATACCAACACCTAAGGCTGCCACCGATACCGAGAGATCGAAAGGGGTGAATGTAGTTATCGAAGATCCGGTGAAGCCGTTCGAGCATAACTACGAGCCGTATATCATGATCGAACCCGAATCCGTACCCGAGATACCGAAAGAGCGCAATGTGATCATAAATCTCAAAATCGAGGAAATCACATACGAGATCCAGCAGCTCTACATGTTGCGGAAGACGGCTATCGGATAGAGCAAAATCGCAACTGATAATTTGAGAAAATAAAAATGAAGATAAAAAGAGACACAAAATTTACGTGGAAAACCCCTAAATAATATAGGGTAAAAACCACGGGCAACGGTAGAAGAATTTCACTATGAGAAAATAGGAATTACAACCTCTCTCGATCTACCAAGGAGAAAATAATGATAATTCTCTCTTGATAAAAAGGAGAAAACAACTCTCAAGAAACTCTCTAAATTCTCTCTAGTATTGGAAGAAAGCTAGAATGCTTTGGGATGATTTTGAAGCTAAATGAGATAGGGTATTTATAGTTGAAACTTAAGGACTAATCTTATAAATACCCTAAATTACAATGACTAAAATTAATTATCCCATTACCCAATTTCAACAAAAATTAGGTACCTAATTTTTGACTTTGACAAAGCACCATTGGGTGCCTAATTTGGTGCCTAAATTATTTAACTTTTAACAATCTCCCACTTGAAGATTTGATTGGAATAATCATATCTTCACACCATTCTTTCTACCTTGTACCTTCTTGTTGCTTACGTTTTCGACAGGCCACAGGAAGATCGACACCAGGTAAACTTATCAGCATTGATTGCCTTCGTCATGAAATCTGCTATGTTGTCTTTGGTATGGATCTTCTACATATCTACCGTTCCTTCTTCCACCTTTTCACGAATGAAATGGTACTGAACTCGTATGTGCTTTGTCCTTGAATGAAATGTTGGATTCCTTGCTAGATGCAAGGCGCTTTGACTGTCACAAAACAGAGAGACATACTCTTGATTGTGCCCAAGCTCCTCCAATAGCATCTTCAACCAAATTGCTTCTTTACTGGCTTATGTAGTTGCTACATATTCTGCCTCTGTTGTGGACGTAGCCACAACTGACTGCAATTTTGAAACCCAGCTTACAGCTCCACCAGCAATTTTGAACACATATCCTGTAGTAGATTTGCTTTTATCCAAATCCCCTGCATAGTCAGAATCTACATAACCATTGATTAGTAAGTTTGATCCTCCGTAACATAATGCAACATTTGAGGTCCCTTTGATGTATCTGATGATCCTTTTT